CACACACACACACACACACACACACACACACACACACACACACACACAGCAGGTTAGCTTTTCATGAAGAAAAACCTAGTCTCACTGTAGCATGATCACCCTACAATCTTCCTCCTCTGCAATTTGCTATCAGAGTGCTTTCATTCTTTGTACTGTTAACAGTTTGAAGCATTGGTCTCCTCTCTGATCATTTATTCCACTGACTCACTTAAAAACTGCAGCCAGGATTCCCTAACTATTTTAGTGGACTATTTTTCTTAAGTTGCCCAAAAAACTTTAAATTGCCAAGGTCAATTCAGCCATTAAGCTTATTGACTCCTTTAGAATTTACCATAACCACCCACTTCAAAACCTCTTTTCTATATTGATTTTCATGACCCTTCTGTACTTCTGTTCTTTTGTTGTCTGTGTCACTGCCTTTATTTGTTCATTCTAAAATTACGTGTTCCACTTGCTCGCCACCCTCCTCCCGTCACTACCTCACAATCGTATCAGTTCCCATGGTTTCAGTCCTTACCTTGGTACCTACAACTACCATATTTGCATCAACAGATTTTCCATTGCATTTATACCTGAACGTTTCCATAGCAACTCCAGTATAATTCATACAAACCACTTTTCTCCCAAAATCTGGACTTTCTCCTATATCCTCTACTTTCCTGTATTCTCTATCTCTATTTTTAAAGTCTTAGCTTTCCTAGCGATTGACATTTAAGCTCACAAAGCCTTTTCTAAATGTTTGTATACCTTTCCCCACATTCACATCATTAAATTTGTCTACCTAGTGATGGTCACATATCTTCTTCTGTCTTTGCAAGTACCTCAGCTTGGGCCAATTTTCTCTCAGTAGCATGAAAAGTTTCATGGACTGAGACCCGGATGGACTGGGTCTTGACCACTACTCCATCTTCCATCACTGGCACTTCCCATCTTGCTTCCTAGTCAGTAGGCTTGAACTCCCCTTAGTGATGTTCCCCTAATTCACCTTGGTCCATGAGCTATCCCCTGTATATGTTATACTCGTTAGAAGTCTTTCAAGCTAGACCACTCCATATCATAAATGGAACAACCAATGGGTCACTTTTCACAAAACTAATGCGAGAGATCATTGGTTTTTAACATTTATTTCTAAATATTTAGAATTGAAACAGAAAATTTGGAAAATGAAAAATGACTCTCACTCCTAAGTTCAACCACTATTGACATTTGGCTAGATTTCCTTCTATTCTAGTTTCTGTGCTCTTCAAAAAAAGTGGGGTTGCATGCTACATATATTTTTCTATTTTTCAATTTTTTAAAGAGAATAAAAGATAGTAAAAGAATTAGAAGCAATATAGAATTCCACTAAACAAAAGTGATAGGAATTCAACAGTGGTTGTTATATTGCATACTGTTGTCTTCAAATTGCTTGTTCAGATTACAACATATAAGCATCATTGACTCAGAAGACAAGTATTTTTCCATCGTTTTAAAGTAGTCTTCAAAAACAAATTGAGGAATCTTAGAATATTCTATAAGTAATAGATCTTACTTATTAAAGTTCTCTTATGATTTATATAGTAAGCATCTGTGCCACCTACTCTTGTAATTCAACTGGATTAAAAGCCAGGGCTGTGACTGGATTACAAAGGAAATGCCTGCATCAGTGGGTTTGTCACTTGATCAGTGTAGCCTAGTTAGAACAAGTGGATCTTGGGGCTGTGACACTGGCGATGTATCTGGTGTCCATGGACCCTTCCTCTATAGCTCTTGCCCTCCTGATTCCCAGATGCCATGATTGAAGAGCTCTCCCCTGCCATGCCCTTCTGCCATGAAATCTCTGCCAGAGAACCAGCCGACCTGGGACTGACATCTCTATCCCAATTAACTTATGGTATCAGGCACTCTGTCCTGACAAAAGAATGCAGCTAATACACTATCTTCACCTTGCAGTGTTTGTCAGTAATTTTATTTCTTATCACAGGTTACCTAGGAGTGGCATTACTTATCAAAGAGTAGAAAGATTTTTAAGCTCATTGTTCACACTATCAAATTACTTTCCAAAACAGCGGATTCCATTTACTCTTTCACTGTAGAGGATAAAAGGACTGACTTGCAAACTTCATAATTCGTAAAGGGTTCTGGGTGGGTCTAGTACAGTGACACCTCAGTTGCCAAAGAGCTTCAGGCTTGAACTACTCAGAGATCAAAGTTTGAAAAAAATTTGCTTGGTGTTTATAAGTTTGCTCGACTGTTGAGACAAAAATATGATTTGAAATAGCCTGTATGGGTGACAGTCAGTCAAACACTGTGTCTTGCAGATACAAATGGGAAGCACTTCTAAGGGCCACACTTGCCCAAATTTTTAGTGACAAAAGGTGAAAGAAGACCAAGAAAAAAAGACCCTAGAAAATGTCCTTCCAGCAGTCTTTATGGAAGGAGACTTTCTTACCAGAAAGAACCAGTCCTCCTCCCCCTTTATTTTCTCTCTGATCTCAAGGAGCCAGGTAAAGCCTCTAAGTCAAGGTAAAGTATCTGTATAAACTTCTTAAATTATATCTACTACAATAGTTTTTGATAGTTAATGGATTGTATTTATTGTGCTTAGATATTTTAGGGGGTATTTCCATAACCTAGGGCTGTTGACTTTGCGTTAAAATCTTGGAAAAATGAATTGATAAGTGTAGTTTTTGGGCCTCAGAGCCAATTATTATCTGATTTTTAATTATTTCTTATTGAAAACATATGTACAGATCTTAAACTTGCCAGCATCCAAACATGAGTTTGGCGCAAATTTGGTTTGACAACCAAGATGTCACTGTTACTTCCCATCTCCAATTCCTCTGCTCTTCACAGGCAACTTCTTAAAACCACAGTCATGTTTCCAGGGACTCAGAAAATTCTAGAGATTTCTCCACTGTTCACAGAAAGTAGCATTTCAGTCAGCTATCAATTGCTTATAACTTGCTTGGTTCCTCTTCTCATTCAGTGGTCAGGGCCAGCAAGTCTGCTCCTTGCTACACTTTCAATCATCTGAAAAAGTCTTAACAAATATATGGTTTAAGGTTCCATTCTAGGATAGTTACAGAAGACCAGAAACTGGCTTTGCTAAAAAGCTCTCCGGAGGGCCAGGGAGATGACTCAGTGGAATAAGTGCTTCCCTGGCAAGAGCATGGGCCTGAGTTCAATCCCTGGTTCCGCCAAAAAAAAAAAAAAAAAGAAAGAAAGAAAAAGAAAAACAAACAAAAAAAGCCCAATAAAAAGCTCTCTGTCGGTGGAGCCTAATAACCAGGTAAGAATTAAGTCACTGGGAGTAGCCTCTTCTTCCTTAAAATGAAATAAGTAAAAAGACTGGAAGAATATTTATCAAGAATACAAACTCATGGGCTGTGCCAGACAAATTTCTGTCACTGTGAGCAAGTCACCTGGCATCACCAGCTTTGTAATAGGGAAGGTTTATTTTGGGCTCACAGTTTTGGAAATTCCACTTCACTGCTGGCTCGCCACATGCTTTTAGGACATAGAAAGGCAGCAAATATATAGAAGGACAAGCTGCACAATGCAGTGTAGGCAGAAAGCAGAGAGGAAGGGGAGGACCAGGGAGTCCTAGTTACACTCCTGATCAGCACAATCCCAGAGAACAGATGCTCTCAGCAGCCCCCATCACTTATACAACATACCAGTAACACCTTGGCTAAGAAGGAATCCTTTTACATTCAAGTGCTTGAAGAGATTTTCCAGACCCAAACTAGACCAGAGACCTCACTTTAAAAGCTACTACTTCAGACACCTTAGGGTTAGACATCAGGATTCTGCCATTGCTTATATTTAATAATTTGAACTCTTCTGATTTACAAAAATAAAAAGACACTGGGAGGATTTTGTTATTACTATTCACAAGCATTCAGTTCTAGAGAACAAAACCAGAATACAAAGTACTCAGGGAAAGTAAGATACATTATTTGTATGAGCCACATGCATATTCTGCTCCAGTCACCATCCAACGTTGTAACACCAGTGGAAGCAGTAATCTTTAAAAAGTAACTCAGAAGAAGCAGTGTAGGGCAGTCCCACCTTGACAAGAGGCAGAGAAAAAAAAGAACTATAAAACAGTTTTACTTACCCCGAGAGGGTAACATGTCCAGGAACATGGCTGGAATCTGACAGATGAGTTAAGTATTTTGTTCAGAATTCTACTATATATTATCCAGTCTCACCTGGGCTCTTAGAGAATATAGTCATAAACAGAAAAAATCAACAGAAATGAAGGCAGGACAGTACATCAGAAAGCTAATCTTTTCTTGAAAACCTTTGGTGAACATGGGAAGGAACTGTGATATAGGCTGTCTCATGAAAAGGAACATTTTCAACTACTTATAAAAGGTTAATTTGGGGTTATGCATACATAAAGCGCTCCTTAACCACCCTAAAAATACTCCTGGCTTTGGTCAAGATCAGTGTTAATAAACAATTCCATTGTGTTTCTCTGTATTCTCTCTGGTCTAATCCACCACTGGGATTGAAAATTGATGCCACAAATCACAATGGACCTGATGGAGGAAAACACTGACAGTCCCCTTTTTGGTGTTCTATGGAGGAAGGCAGCAATAAGGACTTGGGAAAATCAATGTCTTCTTCAACAGATGCATCAGGAAGCCTGACAGGTTCATACTCACAGCTGAATTTTTAGGATGGGGAAATTTAGAGAAATACTGTGGGTGGAAAATTATTATAATCTGAATCCAAATATAGAGGGCTATGAAAGAGGTAGCAAAAATCCAAACTCCAAATGCATTTGAAAGGGAGTAAAAAGAGTAAGTAACAGAATGGAGCTGGCAGACAATTTTGGGAAAACATGAAATGACTATGGATATTGGTATAGAAAATATGTGTGATAAGGAGTATAAAAAATATTCATAGGCTGGGGATGTAGCTCAGTGGCACAGCACTTGCCTGGAAAGTACAAAGTTCTGAGTTCAATTCTCACTACCAAAATAAAAAAAGTATTCACAATTAAAACTTCATAGGGGCTGGGGAGATAGCTCAGTAGAATATGTACTTGCCTGGCAAGCACAGTGTCCTGAGTTCAATCCCTGATACTGCAAAAAAAATAGTATAAAGATACATTTAAGAAAATATTATAAATTAGTGACTTCAGGTATCATTTTAGGACTCTTCTGCAAAGAGAAAATACAGCAATAGGCTGGTTTTTTTCTGCGTCAACTCCAAGCAACTAATTATATCTTCCTTAACCTTTAGGGTGAGGATTCCCAATTTATAGCAGATCTCAGCTGGAGAGGTCTAAGGTCAATCAACAGTGCCAACCATGCTTACTGAAAGTAAGATCAGCAAGAAGGACCACCGTCTGTCCTCACAGAGGGAATTACAGAGGGTGTTGAGCAAAAGGACAAGTGGAGACACAGCTCTACATGGGCACTCGGGATTGCCCTGAGCTAGTGATGAAAAGAAACTGAGCTGGACCACAAGTATAGATTTGGAAAGAAACTCAGGGAACAGAATCTAGGATCCAGGGTAGAAGAAAACATCATGAGGAATGAAGACTGTCGTCCATGTCACTACATTCCACAAAGCCACAAGAATGAGGGCGAGGGTAAGTCCCAGGCTAGGCAGAGATTGAGTTCACCCCTAGTGAAAGACTTTGTTGTTTCAGAAAACATTAAAGTGAATGACAGTGAGGAAACAAAGTTGATTTTTAAATATCATAAAATTAAAGAGTTGGTAAATCACCCCTCTGTCTCTGCTCTCTAGGATAATTTGTCATTGTATATTATTAAAATAATGTTAGTTTCAATAACAAGCTTTATAAAACAGCACTCTAAATTTTACTCTTTTGATTAAATAAGAGGTTTTAATATTTCTTTAAGTTAATTATTTAGTTCTTATGTGAATATAATGTTATATTGTTTTTTTTTCTAAAATTAACTTACATTCACATTAAATGAAGTATTTCAAATTCTACTGTAAACTTTCCTTAGATTCAGTATTACACAGATGCAGACACATGTTCTTGTAGTAATTAGTGCATACATGTGTCAGATGAGCTTAACCACCACACTTATTTACCAAAGTTAAAAAAAAATGCCCAAGTCCATCACCTGTCTAACTTACAATTGTACCTAACAAAAAGCCACTCTGGAAAATAAGGCTTCAGTTCAACGCTGGGTTGAGATGTTTGATCAGATACCCTCCTTCAGTTAAGAAACAGGAGTCATAAATCCACTTCTTCCCTTTAACACCGTGGGCATTCCGACGCATTATGCCCTATGGAAGTCAGAACCCAGGGCTACCCTGCCAGAGCACTGGCAGCTAAAGGCCTCCTGGAGGACCAGGAAGCAGGACCCCAGGTATACAGAGCACAAGATGTAAAAGAGAGAGAGAAAGAGAGAGAGAGAGAGAGAGAGAGAGAGAGAGAGAGAGAGAGAGAGAGAGAGAGAAATGTTATCTTGACTAGGGGATGGGGGATATTTTTAAGAAGATCAAGGTACAATAGCATAATATTTACTTAAATCTTGAAAAGCAAAAACAGATTTGATAGGAGAAAAGTACAAAGAATACAAAAGCTTTTCAAAGAGTTTGCTATTACTGTTAGAGTAACACTACCAACTTTTAGTGTACAGAATGTTAAATAAGCTTAGATATTTTTAACTACATAGAACAATTCAATCTATAAAGGAATAATTGTCATAAAGTACCTTTTTAAAAAATTTCACGAATAAAGACAATCTGTATTCATCATCTGAAGGATTTTTCCTAGGATATGTTATTAGTTCCACTGTAAACCTAAAAACTATCTCTTTAGTTGGTCTTATTTTAGCATTCAATTCAGTGTCATCACTTACTGATAATACTGGAAAGCAATTCTCTCTGTTCAGTGTCTATTTCTGTTATATACTCTTTTTTGTCAGAAAAAGACTTTATCACAAGGAGCTACCCTAATAACGTAATTATTGTGACATACTAAAAGTTGGAATCATCTACAAGCATAAAGACAACTTGGCCTGCCTTTCATGGCCCATAACCAGAAGAACAGCAAAAAGCCAGCTGCACCAGAAGCTCCTCTAATACCACAAGTGCCCCGTGGCAATTACTTGCACCTTCTGGAAGAAAACCAAAGACTACAGCTAAAGAAATGCCTCCTGCATAGGATGTTTCTAGTGGCCAACACACATCCAAACATGGACCAAAAAGAAATTGCCGAGCACTATGAGCAAACATTTCAGTCAATTCTAAAACATAACCCAGGAGAAGCAGTGACTGGGCTATTGCTCATTTATCCCACTTCCATGCTACACATTCTTGAATCCTCCAGCAGTACTCTCCAGCAAATTCTCTTAGATTTTCTTAGCCAGGAAAAGAAAGAAAAAGAATTTTGGATTCAAAAACTGAAAATTGTCGTCATTTCTCATAACATCCCGACACGGGTCTTCATGCAGTGGCACACTTCAGTAGTAAGAGCACCAATTATGTATCTCGATGATGTGACCCAATCCCAGTCCCTGAAGGAGATCGTCACAGATTTTCTCACCCGCACTCATAAACTGGCACTGCATCTTTTCAAGACCCCTAAAGTGAAAACCAAAGGACTAGATGATAACTTGCAGAATGCTGCACCTAGCCTGCTCCTCCCAGAACAAATCATAAAGTACTTATGTAACTCTGAGGAACTCCCAGACCCAGCCACTTTCCTAAGCATGTATAATAAGCCCATAGACATCATCCTGGATTCTGAGGTGGTGTGGCCTGTTCCTTCTAAATTCTAGGACTGAGAAAGATAATGGAGTTTGATGTCTTAAGGAATGCATGCTGAATAAATAAAACTGTTTCTGATATTCTTCCTTTTCTTCTTTTAATAAAAGAACACCACAATTTATCCAAAGGTAATATGTTTATCTCTATAGAATATGTATCTATTTGCTCTGATATTGAACACAACACATTATTTTAAGGGGGTTGAGTTTAATAAAATCATAGTAAGTTTCATCTTTTTTCATAGAATAAGTTAATTTTTAAAAGAAAATACAGAAGACAAAGGACAAATATAATTTAGATTTTCATACATTTTTGACAGCTCATAAGCAGCCTCTACCATGCAGTAAAAGTACTATATCCTGGTATGAAACTTTTGTAGGTGCAATTCAGCATTTGAGTTGTTGGTAACCTAGTATGTAGAAAACTAATTATGACATGACATGTGATGTAATACAACTTAATGAATTAGTATGAAGGGGTAAGTAGAAGGGGTCCCAAAACACAGAGGGAATGCTGTACAATTCTAACATTCAGAAAACAAAACCTTAGAAAATAGTTCCAAAGCTCATATATTCGGGCCCATATATTCAACAATATTGGGGCCAATGTAAAATTAAAGAACACATTAGCTTTTTTATTAATTTATTTTGTGTGTGTGGTACTCAGGATTAAACTCAGGAACTTGTTCTTGCCAGAACTTATGCTGCTGAACTATGTCCCTGGTCCAACACTCACTTCTGAAGTGACTAGAAAATATTATACATTATCAGACAGAATCATAATCTTTTAAGCAACATTATTCATTGAGCACTTTCCTACATAATAAATATATCTCAGACACTACGGATATGGTGGGGTATTTGGAAGACAGATTTCCTGCCTACTTTACAAGCTTGTTTCTGAAGGATTCCATGCAAGATAAATACTTTCACAATTCCCTTCTTTTAAAGTAAGTTTTTCAGAAAATACATATTTACTGGATCAGAAAAAATCTCTTTAGCTGGATGAATTTCATTTAGAAGCCATTTTCTAAAGTTACCTAATGAATAAAAGTTTATGAATAAAAAATCTATTAATGTATTGAAAATCATGGCACGTTGTTTTTTTTTTCTATAATGGGTCACTCCAATATATTACATTCCCACATGCTCTTCTTGCAATATGCCTTTCATGTTACTCCTGTTTCATTCTAAATTCCTTCCCTTAAAATCTGCCTCCAACAGCAGAGCACAGGAGGAATGATTCTCCATGACCTCCAAGGTTGAGTCATAAAACTGCTATCAATGTGACTCTGCGTCCTTTGAACAATCTAAGAAGTTTCCAGGTGATATTCCAGGTCCCAACCAAGTGCCAGTATGAAGCACTCCAGGAGATTCTGGACTCTAGACTTCCGCTAACTCTAGATTTCAAATCAGTCCTGCTGGCACTGTGTGGGATACAGATGAGCTCTTCCCACTGAATCCTGCTGGAATTCCAGGTCTCTGAACAACATAAGTAGCATCTTGGTGTAAATCATTATGTTTTGGGTGGGTGATTAAGCAGATGGCTGAAACGGTATACATGTACATAAACTATTTTTATCACTTATTATTCACTCCACTCATTCATGTACCTAATACTCAGTGGGCAGATGCCGTGGCAAGCAAAACCACCAGAACGACACCCAGGATTTGGAGGCAGATTTATTTACATCAATGGAGACTGATCAAGATCATTCCCAAAATATCAGGCCTTGATCTCCAGTGGTCAAGGGCTCCTGTGGGATAAGCAAGCAGGAAGCAGAGGCAGAAGGGCTTGTCCTCTGGATCACTTCTTACAAATGCATCACAGGGACCAGCTACGTATCACAGTGATCAGTCGCTTCTAAGAAACAAAAGTAACAGGAACTCTAACCAGAACTGCTGCAACCAGGACAACTAACTCAAGTACACTGGTTTGGAGGACGGGAGGGTCTTCTAGTGCACAGCTATTAATAATTATTTATTAATAATAATTATAGTGGGCCAATTACTATGCTTGCCCCTTAATACACAAATAGCAGCAAGATGTGTGTCTACCACGTTGCCCAGCGAGGATATCTGGTCTGTAATAATTTCAGGTATTAGAAATACTGATAGTGGGGCTGGGGAGATGGCTCAGTAGAATAAGTGCTTCCCTGGCAAGCACAAAGGCCTGAGTTCAATGCCCGGTTCCACCAAAAAAAAAAAAGAAAGAAAGAAAGAAAAGAAAAGAAATACTGATATAGCAAATGAATTTGTAAGGCCAAAGAAAATTATTAATCATCAGAATTTCTTTTGGAGGACATTTTTATGAAAAAATCTAAATGATTACTGATTTAATTTGCACACTAATTTTAATGTAAAGAATTCATGAAGCTTTAACTATGAAAATAACTAGAACATAAACAAGGTGACTATGAATAAGTAATTTCATCATTTACTCTTTTTAGCAAGCATACTTGTATGAATTTATTCAAAGGAAAGTTGCCTTAGTCACTTTAGAAGGATTTATATTTATCCCAGTGATGACATTACTATGAAAGTAATTTTATTATTTATTTATGGTAGCTGCATGAAGAGAGCTTATAACTTTAAATCCTTTAACTTAGATCTTAAATACTTTAATTTTTGATCACCATATCATATATACTCCAACTCAATTAATATTAATATCCAATCTTCATTTGTATAGATACTTGTTTTTAAATATTATATTCATTCTCAAAGAAAGAACTATGGTCGCTGAATACACTAAGAAGTAAGTCACTGCCCTAAAGAGAAGCACAAATTGTTTTGAGCAGCAGGTTTATTAGTGAGACACTGATGTGGTTTACTGAGACAATGTTTAAAGGACACTCATTTAGCTGTATATGTTTGGGGTATATTTGATACTATTCAGCACTCTATATTCATTCATATCTACAAGTATAATTTAGTATGATGAAGTACAAGATATGAATCATTAAACTTTAGAACGACTCATCGGGGAATTTTCAGCACAATATAAGTTAGTTTCCTTAAAATAAAACCTCAAATAAAGCCTAAGAACAGAAGTTAATGCAAAAAGAACAACAAATGCTCAACACTCTAAACATACCTTTAAAGCCATATGATACTGAACATATAACATATATAAATTCATTCACACAAACGTTAAGATGATGCAAGCAGACCCACTCGGGGCCTTCTCTTTGTCTGTGTATACTGGGCAGTAGGCTGTCCTAAGGCTCATTTCAGAGGTGAGCAAAGACTTTCAGCAAGGTTATAGATTTCTTGAAGAGTTGAAATAATATTTGAAAGGAAAAACTCTCCCAGGCTGAATTCTAAAATGTCGTTATATTCACTTTAATGTAAGAAACATCTGTGCTTTTCATAAGCATTATTGTTTAGCCCAAATAGATTTTGACATTCAGTAAATTTATTACAACTTTAGTCACATAGAACCACATTTCAGTTCATTTAAACCTACCTCAAGCAGTACAATATCCTTATACTCCCCAAGAGAGTAGAAATGAGATAGCTGATCACTTCACATAGCAAAACAACTTCACATTACTTCATGCTGTAGTAAATGATTTAATGTAGAATTACAGTTCTCCCCCTTGTGGTCAATTAATTAAATTTCCAGATTACCTACTGTTAGGATCAATATAATGCACATGCACAGATTTTAAGAAAATATAGAATCTTCCCAAATACTATTCATATAACTACTTTATCTCCTTTGTCTGTAGGTGAAAAATCTGGGACCAAAAGGTATTAAGGTGTTTTGCCAAAAGTATATGTCGATAACAAGTCTCACTTAAACTCACTGTATTTATTGCACAACTCTTGATCGCTCTATAAGTAACATATTCTTTGAAAGAGTAGTTCGAAATTCATCTTTCTTATGACTGTAGAATTTTAAAATTCTAAGTATTCGTTTTACTTTTTTATTATTTTTAAGAATCTTTTATTTATTTGGTACAGGGTCTCACTACACAGTGCAGACTCCTAGTGATACTCCTGTCTCAGCCTCCGCAGCCCTAGGACTACAAGGGTGTACCACCACGCTCAGTTTCATGGCTGACTTGGTGTGGGATGGGCATGGCCTGCGGTACTGAGGATCGAACCCAGGTCCTTGCACTTGTCAGGCAGGCGCTCAACCCACGGAGCTATCTGCTCAGCCCCACTCTTTAAAAAAAAAAAGTAACAAGAAAAATTATTATATTTTGTATAATAAATTGTTAAGAAATACCCTTAAACCTTCTAAACACAATGTGATCTTTGATATCTTGATAAACAGAATAGGTATTAAATTCATTTAAAATCTTTTTGAAGAGAGTATGATCAAATTGCCTTGAACGGAGCAGACAGAATTTAGGCTACATTTCTGAGAAAATATTTAAAAGTATATGTTTATGAATAAGAAATCCAACAAAATTTTAATGCAACAAAAATAAAACCCAAAGCATTTTCCAGCACTTGTTCAAAAATTAACAATTTATAACATAGGTTTACATGTCACAACAAGTAGGCTATATTGACATGAAAAAATGCAAAATTGCAAAGTGAAAGGAATTCACAAACAGTAACTATATTTATAAAAAGAACTATGACTTATAATTATAAATATTACAACCTTTTAGCACGGTGTCAATGTAGACTGTCTACCCAAAGCCTCATGTGTTCAGAGGAGGGGCTTTTGACAGATGATCAGACCATGAATATGCCATCCCCATTAGTAGATAAAACCACTGAGAAGTAGAGCCTGGTGAGGAGAAGCAGGCCCCTGAAGCATGACCAGTCAGCTCCTCTCTTTTTTTCTGCTTCCTAGTCACCACAAAATGTTCTTCTGCCAGACCCCTCCACCAGGTCCTTCCAGCTTTGGAGCCAACTGATGCTGGACTGAACTCTCTAAGACCATGAGGCAAAACAAGTATCCACTGCTTTTATCTGTGGGGGTCAGATATTTTGTCCTGTAAGTACTCTTTCTAAATCCAAGAAAAAAATGTATATTAGCTATCCTAATA